CCCCCAATTTTTTTTTAAACTTACCATTTTACCATGCTTATCAAACAAAAGTAGAGGGAATATTTCCAGGTTTTTTTTATGTCTGTTCATTTGGTGGTAGTGTGCTGGTGGTGGTTTTTCAAATATATAGTGATCATTTAGCATATAATCAGAAATTCTTTAAGCATTATGAGTGTAAGGAAAGAAGTACCATGAAGGAAGGCTTGGTTATAGCTCTGCTTTTAAGCAGCTTGTAACTTAGCCAGAGTGAAGTAGAACTTCATGAGACAAGCAGAAGACAGCTGCCTTATCTAATGTCTTTCAGAAATCTTCTGCCAACAGTGGAGATGTTAAAATTTCAGAATGCTGTTCCAGGAGTCTTTGTCTAATAATAACTTAAGTAAAAGTCTTTTGTAAATCTTTAACTTAATGTTGAGCTTGAGACTGGATTTTCTACTTAGCTCTTTCAACTCCACATGGCTAATTCTTGGCAAAGCTAGTTTTTGTTTTTCTCTGTCCATTACAGGTGAATCTTAATGCTTTGGGGAGTAGTTTTTTTTTCATGTTCTTTTCCATTCTTCTTTGTTCATGTCTCTGCTCTGTACCTTTGAAATTTCCACTTCCACCTCGCTGCAAAATGGGGCAAATGGGAACCAGTGCCTAGGGTGTAAGTACACCCAGCACCAGCATCAACAGCAGTGTTCAGGTTGCAAGGTCTCTTTGCAGTTCTGTGCAGAATGATACATAATGGCTTGTGAGTATTTCCATGCTGGCAGCAGTACATGGAGCTAACTGCAAATTAGTTTGTCATCTGCTGTTTGGGAAAAGCTCTAGATAGCAGCAGGTCAGGGTTCTGAAGTGATGAGTGTGGCTTGCAATTCTAGTCTGTCTTCATATAGAATTTAGCATAGATTAAACACAGATTATAAGCTAAGTATGGCAGAAATGTTTCACATGTAACTAACTGCTGATCTCTTTAATTAAACAGTTTGACAGTGAACTTAATTTTAGTACCTACATATTAAACATTTTCATGCTGCCATGATTGTTCCACCTGCTGGTCCAAGTTGGAGAGTGCTTGGACTTCTCTCCGTTTGCCTCCCTGCTGCTTGGGTCTCTGAGCCCAGAGGTTTTTGTTTGGTTCTTTTAGTTTTGGTTGGGGTTTTTTTGTTCTTTTTTTTTGAAGCTTAAATTTATGTCCAGATTCTGTCTATTTAGACAGATACTCTTGGTACTCTTTGAAAGCCATGTGCTGAATAATCAGTTCATTTTTAGGCACTAGGCATTTTTGGGAATGAGGCAACCTTAAAACTGACTTCATTCTTGCAAAAGAGACAATTACTTTTTTTGTTAGAAAACTTGAAGCAACAGGAAATAGATAAAATATTAAATAAATTCCAAGTAACACTTGATAATGGGACTACTCTTCTGCTGCATCAAACCTATAGCTACTTTATAGAGGTTCTTCCATTTGCTTATGTTTCATTCCTGCTTTTGCCGAAAGCAATCCAGCATTAGCAGCAGTGAGTTCTTATAGTAAAAAGTTTTGATTCCTTCTCCTTTGTTTTCTGTGTCTGTGTGAATCCCCCATTTCTGAGCATCTTTGGAGTTTTATTACCTTTATATAGATATACAAACATCTTCATAAAGTATATGTGTGTGCTTGTATATGCTTACTTATATGTATGCATATTTATACATATATCCCTTTGCATATATAGGTTTACGTACTGACTATACATTAATCATGTTTGACTAATAATTTCCAGTTTAAGATTACTCACAAAGAACATATAATATACTTTAATAAGACAGTTGACAGGCATGGCATTGAAGTTGTTTCTGTAAACTATATATGCCTCAGTTCCTTCTTCCTGTAAGTTTGCAGACGTTCATCAGACCCGCTGGATAACTCAGTTCTTCCAAAAGATTACCTTAATGAATTTTCCAGAGTAGACTCTGATTTCTTTTTTTCCTGAGGCTTTATGAGATGATTGATAGCAGAGCACTGACTTTTGTCACTGTGCTTTTTGGTGGTCTAAAACCTGTAATTATGAGTAGTGGAAAGAAATAGAGGGGAGGAAAGAACAACTAACTAGTAGATTGATTTGTGAAATGTTCTCTTTACAGAAGTAGCAGCAAGTCTTTTCCATGTGTAGTTTTGTGATTTCTGATTTTCTAGGCATTTCTCAGTGAAAATGGGCAGGTTTGTAGGCTAGCCAACTCTGCTGTGTTGGTTGTAGTTTTGGTATTCTGCTTTATGGTGTGATCTTGAACTAGAGACCTAGTTTGGGCAGTTCAAGGAGATCAGATCATATTAGGAAGTCACACTTTGTTTGATTTTGGCTCCTTTAATTTCAAGGACTGCTCTGTGTATAGTATGATAGATAAATGTAAATGTTGTAGTGAAGCATGGAGTAGTCTTGCAGCCTGCCCTATTTAGGTTTCAGCAGCACAGAGCTTTTGAGCCATACTCTAAGAGTGGACATGGATAGACTGAATACTACTCCTGTTGGCTTCTGTGCTGCAAGTATTTCCCAATGTTTTGTAGTCAGATGTTTTGTAGACTAACTTCTGAGATCAATTGCTGCTGAATTAAGCTGTTCAGCCTGGTAAAACCTGAAATAAGAGTTCCTAATCCACATTCTTTTTCCTCTGTATTTCTGATTTGGATACCTCTTGGTGGTATTTCCTAACTGTCAAGTTTTCTTGTATGGATGTTTTTGAGTGTTTGGATCCATGTCCAAAAGAGGGGGAGAGGTCACTGGAAAGATTTCTTCATGCATCAAATTGTATAAAAGTAAACTAGATACTGGTTTTGTTGGGTAATTGTATCTCTGGTTATGTAGCTTTTTTTTCTTATCAAGGTGGCTTGTTATTCAGAGTTATCAAAGTGTATTTGAAAGATCATAAATATGCAATATGCTCACTCTTTTCTGGAGGCTGAGCTGGCCCATCTGCATCTTTTAATTGATCTTTAATCTTATTTAGCCTTAATGTAACAGCTTGCAGCTGAAAGTCCATGCAAACTCAGGGTAGAAATTTTCTCCCATAGACTGAGGTTTAAAATTAATGTGCAGGGCATGATGAGCAGCAGTTTGTAGGTGCAGCTCAGTGCTCCTCTCAACTGTGCTTTGACAGCAGGTTACTAAGCTACAAAGAAGAAATTTGGATGGGAGTGACTGGCTGATTTGAAAGTTTGGGCCTTGCTGAACAGCTGTTACTTCTTTAGGTTCACATCCCTGCTAGTCAGAGGTGCATCCTCCACCTTCAGAGGCATGAACATCACCATCCTTTCTTGCAAAAAAAACCCTTGGTTTTGTGCAGTATACGCAAATGATAGAGCCTCGAGTTCAACTGCAAATAAACAGAGAATGCTTTTCACCAGCCCAATCAAGTACTGAAAGGCTGTTGCTACAGATGAGTTTAGTCACTGTGATCCATTTAATCCTTGGCAGATCTGCTGTGCTGTCAACAAAGAAACAATTAATGCCAATTATTATGAGTTTGTGATATTGGTATCTTAAATCCTTGCCTGAGGCCCGCCACACTTGTTTCAAAAAGGGCACCAGTCATCAGATAATGATTATCAGTTACTGCTACTAGGGCTAGCAACGTGCTGGAATTTCCTTAGCTATAGCTAGGAGCAGTCTCTGGTTTTTAGTAGGTTTTGTTACTAGAAATTGCAGTTATGGCCCTCTGCAGCAGGGCTTTGCAGTAGGCAGCAGAATCCTCAGTGTGGACAGTGCCTGCTGTGGAAATGGGAAGCTCGGATTTCACTGGGTTTATTAACTGTCTACTATGCCTGGTGAGTCACTTTTTATCTTCTCAGGTCATTCTTCCACTAGTTCTAGCCATTCCTCGCAGCTGGGCTTGTTCAGCCTGGAGAAAAGAAGGCTGGGGGTGACCTTGCAGCCTTCCAGTCCTAAAAGGAGCCTACAAACAGGATGGGAGTCAACTCTTTGAAAGGGTAAATAACAGCAGGACAAGGGGAAATGGTTTTAAGTTGAAGGAGGAAAGATTCAGGTTGGATATCAGGTGGAAGTTCTTTGCGAAGAGA